GAACGAAAAATTTCAGGTGGCATATGCAAGGAGACTGTATAGATACATGCGTGTATATATATATATATAAATGAGGGAGAGTTGATAAGTAGGTCACAAATGGAAATAGAACAGCTGTAATGGATTTAATATTTTCTATGTGTATCACTAGATAGCAGCGCAGCCTACCTGTATGACAGTCTAGGTAGCAGACGTGCCTGGGAGTGTTCAGAGGCTGATTTCAGTAGTTAAAATGGCGACCGTGCTTGAGGAGTGTACTATCGAAGAGTAGCATTCAGTTGTATGGTTTTTGGGAAGTAAAAGGGCTCAAAGTAAAGGATATTCACAAAGAAATATTTCTTTTTTTTTCCGGCGGAAGTTGTTTATCGCGTAAAACGTTTCACAGCTGGTGGCATATATTTTTCTGATGACAAAGATGTTGAAACGGAGGTGCACAAGTGACTGTGACAACAGCCAAAAGACTTCTGTGTTGCGGATTTCTACAAACTAGTAAAGCGATGGGAAAATACATCGACGTTTGTGGAGAATTTGTCGAGAATGAAGTGTGTTTTTTTTTCAGTTTCGAATATCGCATGTTTTTCTATTTATATCCATCTGTGACCTATTTACTGTGTGTCCCTCATACATATTTCACGTGTCACAGTGACTGTAGACGGGCGTTGATTGGTAATTGGATTTAATAGTAACATACATGTCGTAACTACAAGTAATTATTATCCTATTGCTATTTACACAATATACAATCACTCAACTCTAATCTCTTCAGTCTCTCTGCAGTAGTTTTCACTGGTTTATAACACGGGGACTATAACAGTCACACTGATCCATACGCTTCAAATATTACACATAAATAAAATCTTTTTATCACACTTTAAGTCTTCGCAGGCCGATTTCTGGTTTTTCATCTACTAACTTCCCGTGGATATCGCCTTGCTGTCTTGTTCTCCTGCTTCTGGCACTACTATTCGTAACTTGTAACTGCTTTACTTATATAGCCGCAGAACGGACATGGGCATATAGTAAACACATCACGTGATCGCTATCCTCTCTTGTGACGTCACCGCGGAAACGGAAAACATAGCTTCCTCTGTTGTTGCGTGACCTAGCAACGGACTGTTTAATAATAATCTGTATTCGCGGGGATTTGTTTGCCAACACGTTGCCTAGCAATGGGTGTACATGTAACAACATATTTTTGAGAATTCGTGACATACGAAATCTTTGGAATTTTTTATCTGCTTGTCAATTTCCTGTTTCATATCGCGGGCCTAATAGAGAACATCCAAAGGTCTTGCGAAATTTACTCGTACCATTGCCAATTATATCGATGTGCACGTGTTGTGGCTGAGTTTTTCTGTGAGATTCGAATCCTTATTAACAGCTCTTATATTACGTTTTGGATACTATAATTGCTCGATTTGATTGTTATTCAATATTTAACTTTTAAGTGCATGTATGTTCTCTGCAATAAATGAAGATGCCAAATAAAAATATATGAGATTCGTCCATTCATCATTGTCTCTGCGAGGAATTTACTCTCGGTAATCCATTCCATAGTGAGTCGCTTTGCTGACGGAATTACTTTAATTAACTGATGTTTTCAGGAAGGATAGTAAGTAGAATTCTATCATTACACGCAGAAACGAATGACGTTGGGTTGAGGCGCAAAGGAGAGGGGGTTGCAGTTCTCTACAGCAGAGCCAAGCTCCGTTAAGATGGCGTCAGAGCGCAACAAAAACAGTACGAACCTCAGATTGAGATATATTGCCATGTGCCATTCAAATTTCCTGCTTTTTATTTCACTTCTGCACTGCGAGATCTTGCATCGAATGTGCCCCGCGTTTCACACTTTTGACAATTGAGCCTTTAACAATGGATGATACATGATTTTCTCGGCTGCTGGCAACAAGATGGCTACGCGAATTATCTGCTTTCGTCTGGTTAACACTTTCCACGCTACTTGTTGGATATCCCTCTTAGATGCACTTCCGTCAGGAGAATTGAAAGATAAGTGAAAGAAGCATTGTGCACCATCTCTCTACATTACGTCAGCTGATATAATTTCCGTTTCCGGTTGACAGAAACACGGGGAAGTTGAGTGGGAAGGTGGGAATTCTCATAACGCTAAACGTGGAGGAAGTTTAGAATCGCCCTGTGGGAGGCCCTTTTTAGGCCTACGCTTTGATACGATAATTACACCTCGTGAAGTATTTATCCTATAATACAGCTGGCATCTTGTGGTGTGACTGAACATCAAAAAGTGAAACTATCCCTGTAACAGGCCGTGAAGGCCAATACAGTTGTGAGACGTCGAGGCCCCCACATTTTCTAGACAGTCGGCTCACAGTGTGCGGTTAGGTTGTCAGCCTTACGCGCCGGCCGCCCTTGACCCCGGAAAAATTCCTGGTACTAATTTCTGTTAGAGGTTGAGTCGAATCCGGGCCATAGTGCGGCTGGAAGGGTTAGGTCAAATGAAGATTCCAGTGACCTCATCGGGAATCGAACTCGCTACCTTCCGGCTTATAGCATAATGCTTCAACCAACTACCCCACCACATAGCATGAGTACCGGTCGCTGTAAAGAGTAGCAAATAAAGACCCTGCCTCGCCCGTAAATCGGTTTATTAGAGTTGTTTATACAATATCTACCTGTAATTAGTCTAAGTAGGCGGTGTTTGTTAGTTTTGTCCTTATGCCAATTCCATGGAACAAAAATACAAAACAAATTTCACTTAAGAAGAAAGCAGGCTTCTGGGATGTGGCGCCGTGTAGATGTGGTGTTAACCGGCGTTATCCTACAAGTCTGCATTCTTCATAGTCACCGCCGTGAAAACCTCAAATCTTACAAATTTCACTTAATTTGGATTTGGGGTTCTCATCTTTATGCCTTCCACATAGAGCAAAATCGTAATTTAAATTTGTCTTTCAATGGTTGTTGTATGTAAGAGTGGATTAAGGGAAGGTTACTTGTGAAAAACTTAGCTAGAATTGGGAATTGTCAAATTTTCGGTAATTCCACTACATTACTCTAATGCAACGTCTAACGACCCCAAAATACCATAATTTGAAAAAATCAAAATAAATCCAGAAAATAAATAGTTCAGAACCTCTTTCCCTGTTTACCCCATGTCGCTCGGCATGGCAGGGACCTGTTTTACATTCCTGTGAAAGTAATTACTGGAACAAGGCGCCGGGACTTCGCGAGACAGATGTGCGCCACTAACTCAGGCTTCTCGTCTGTGGCCACAAATGCGTTTGAACTGTAGCTTTATGTGTCTCCTTATCAAGCGGAGTCAGGCTCCGTTGCCACACATCTGTGACGTAATGATCCCTTGGAGAGTGGCATAATCACGTCTTTAACCTTCCTGAATGGAGACCATAACCTCTTCGATTCCGCAGAGTTTCTTAGAAACTGCTAGCTCTCTGACATTCTCAACGCTTAGCCTCGTATATTATACAACGTGGCGCACGAAATGATCCAGTATTTGATTTACTGTTAATTATTCATTAAGGGAGGAACATACACTGAGGGTGTTTGAGAACAGTGTCCTGAGGAGAATATTTGGACAGAAGGCAGATGAAATGACTGGAGGTTGGAGAAAACTGCATAATGAGGAACTTCATCACTTGTACTCTTCTTCAAGTATAAGTAGAATGATCAAGTCAAGGAGGATGAGTTGAACAGGTAGAAAGACCAAGGCGTAGGTGTGTGGACAATATTAAAATGGATGTTTCAGAGATAGGATGGGATGGTATGAATTGAATTGATCTAGCTCAGGATAGGGACCAGTGGAGGGCTCTTGTGAATATGGTAATGAACATTCGTGTTCCATAAAATGCTGGGAAATTCTTGAGTAGCTACATAATTGACGGCTTCTCAAGAAGAGCTCAGCTCCATCATTGAGTGAATTAATTATTCAACCATGAATTGAACAATATTTTGTAACATAGTAACACTTACAGTAGATAATGGAGATTAGTTCTTACTCTTCCCGAGCGCGCTAGTATCGCGCTGTTCGTGCTCATGCGCCAGTTTACACAAGATGGCTGACAAAAGAAGACTGTCTGTAGAACAACGCATAAAAAGAGAGTGTTGTTTCTTTTGAAACAAGAAATGTTGTACTTTATTGTGCCTGATGCTATTTACATTTTTGAGTTTGACTCCGTGGTACTACTCTCCGACATTCAACTTAAATGATTCCGACAACACGTATTTATACATTGTAAATTAATATTTCTATTATATAGCGGCTTATACTATTTCCATTTCTACTAGTTACTAGTCACTGTAATTCATCTCTGTTTCACTCTCATGCTTCTTTACCATCCCCTCCCTTTTCTTTGTACATTTAATGGTGTATATTGGATGTATATTAATATTTTTACCAGTGTTCTTTATTCTTACTTACTCTTGTTTTCCCAGTAGTAATTTCTACGTTAATATTCTAAATATCTTTTCTCCAAATTATTATTTCTTCACGATTCACTGTGTGGGCGGCAAACACCCTCCTTGCTACATGTGATAAATCCCGTGATCAATGTTTCTCTTGACCATCTTCATTGTCCTGATTCGCAGTTTACACCGTACTTTTCGTCATCTGGCTCTCCCTGTACGTAGTTCTGATTTGAATTTGATTCACCCAGTTTCTCCCTAAATTATTCCATAGAAAGATGGCAATACTATACTTGTAAGGGGCCGTGGAGGTCCAAAGGGTTGTGAGACGTCGAGGCTCCAAAAATTTTCTAGATATTCAGCTCAGAGACGGCGGCGAGTTTGTCAGCCTTACGCTCTGGCCGCCCTTTACCTCCAGTTAGATTCCTGGTACTCATCTCTCTTAGAGGCTGAGTCAACCTCAGGGCCATAGTACGGCTGGAAGGATTAATCACTCACTCATGGAGCTGAGCTTTTCTTGAGAAGCCGCTAGTTGTGCAGCTACTCAAGAATTTTCCAGCATTTTATCGAACCCGAAGGTTCATTACCGTGTTCACAAGGGCCCTCCACTGGTCCCTGTCCTGAACCAGATCAATCCAAACCATACCATCCCATCCTATGTCTCTAAGATCCGTTTTAATATTGCCAGAATTTTCGAACTCATATAATTTTCCTCATTTTAATGTCTTTGACCTCATTTAGGTTCATTGTACCAACATCTGAATATATATTTTTTGAAAAATTTCCTAAATGTACGACTTGTTATGTATAATGATACTGGATTGAGAAACGCATTTGAGAAGAACAGGTGATAGATAACACTGGGAACGTATCTTGGGAAGCTTTGACCATGCGAAATCATTACGAACATCCAAACAAACAAAGGGCTGTGTGTAAACCAGAACGCGACCGAGAGGCCTGCTACCACTCTGGAACTCCTGTACCTGGATCTCAGCAGAACACTCTTACCCCCAATTCCAGGTATCTCTTTGGCACTTTGCTTCAACTTCTCCGCAGTTCGTGCGTTCAAGACTGTGACACTTAGCGGAAGTACTACTGCTGCCAGTAAGAACACAATGGTGATTCCAATAACAATTGCTTGTAACTTCTTGCGATCATCAGAAGCGCTAGTTAATAGGAACCCTAACCCCAGCGTAATGCCTACAGCAGTCCCCCACACAAGTATGATACACAGTGCTACGTGAAAGCGTTTTTGGACATATGGCTGCGAAGCCAAATTCTGCAGAGATCTGGTGACTGCAAAATAGCGCTGGGCACTCAGAGCAAGAATTGAGAAAGCACTGACGAATATAAGCACTGTCTGACTTACCATTAAAATAAATAATTTTAAAATAAATATATCTTCCTCGTTATGATAATTGTATAAAGCGTACTGAATAGGGAGAATGATAACAAGTCCTAGCATATCACTGACAGCAATGTTGATCAACATGGCGTTATATGTTCTTCTTACTTCTTTATGCTTAAAAAATATGAAAAGAAGGGTACCGTCCCATAACACACCTAGACAGAATATAACCAGTGTTACAATTGGTTCTACGTACCGTCTAAATAAGTAAGTTGATTTTAATCTTGAAATCGTTTCGAGTAATCTCGAATATACCTCATTAAGAATCACTGTGCAGTCAGGAGAAATGCATTCACATTTCAAACGAGAATTGCAGACAATATTTTCTCTCTTCTTCATGATATAATTTAATGAACGGCGTTGAATAGCTAAGAAATCTTCATATATTTTTGTAGAAGCAACAATTTCTGTCAATTGTTCGTTGAATATTTCGAGATCAATGTTATAACCATATTCACTGCCTGCCAGGTAGTTGAGTAATGTTGTGTAGTTCTTATCAGTGAAACTTGGACGAGTGGTAATTTGATCATCACCGAATATTTTCGAACAAAGTTTCACCCATTCTCTTACCCAGTACCACGACTTAAGGGTGCTGTCCGTGCTGAATTGTTCCAAGATTACTAACCGTATATAATTCGGACCTTTCTTTTCGGAGTCGCTGAAATAAGATGCATTCTGTTTAATTTTCGAGCATTCGCTTAGTGTGTGCATGGATATCATATCTTCTGGATCCAATTTCTCTAAAGTTCAATCGTAGAATGAGCGGGGGTCTTGCAGGAGTTCGGAACCATCACACGCATGCGTCAGGGCCAACAACGTCACCATCAGACAGAACTGTGGACAGAACAGTATTTTAATTTACAACAAATTAATTGTTCCATACCATAAAATTAATGCATAATTTATAATCTATCTATGGACTACCGTCCTTTGTTGGACCTTGCCATCTTTTCCAGTTCCTTAATCCTATACACAGTCGGTAAGACTCCTTGGATGGGGGATCAGGCCGTGGCAAGGCATCTACCTACACACAGGACAGCACCAACACAGAATAAACGCGTACACTCATGCTCGACATATAAACACACAGACAGCAAGGTGATCTAACAGCAAGAAGTTCTGGGAAGAAGTACTCGCCTATCTTCCTTTTATACGATAGGACAAAATAGAAAACAAAAAATAAATGGGGGAGGGGACATACAGATATAGAGCTAACTATGTGATCTAATAAACCTCAAAAGTGAGGAGTAGACATACAAACACATAATCGTGACATAAAGACACCTAACAGATCCTTTCAAAAAGATGGCAGAGTTCAGGTGCTTGGGAACGACTACTACAAATGAAAACCTGATTCAGGAGGAAATTAAGAGGAGATTGAACTCGGGTAATGCTTGCTACCATTCAGTCCAGAACGTTTTGTCTTCTCGTCTGCTGTCTAAAAACGTAAAAATGAGAATATACAGAACTATAATGTTGCCTGTGGTTCTGTATGCGTGTGAAAATTGGTCTCTGACATTAAGGAAGAAACATAGACTGAGGGTGTTTAAGAACAGGTTGCCGAGGAGAATATTTTAACCGAAGAGGGATGAAGTGACAGGAGACTGGAAAAAGTTGCATAATGAGAAGCTTCATAAATTGTACTTTTCTCCAAGTCTAATTAGAATGACCAAGACCAATATGTAGGTGGATGGCTAATATTAAAATTCATCCTAAAGAAATAGAATGTGGTGGTATGGACTGGATTAATCTGGCTTAGGTTGGGAACGAATGGAGAGCTTTTGTGAACACGGCGATTAATAATCGGGTTCCGTAAAATTTTGGAAAATTCTTAATTAGCTACAAAACTGGCGGCTTCTCAAGGAGGATTCGTCTCCATGGAGTTATATATATATATCCATTGAATATTTATGATAGTTTATATATAAAAACAATTTAGTTGTGGTTGCGGTATGAGAATAATATGACTGCACTTTAATGGAATGGTTAGGAGAATCGGTTACTGAATTTTTTTTTTAGTTAATAAATGGAAAACTTACCAAGTGAACATTGGAACACACGGCCATTCCTGTTCGCCGTTCTGTGTTGTACTTTTAAACGTCGTTAGGCACAGACAGAGTCACTACTGAATTCCTGTGTGTAACTGTTCACACACACACAAGCACTCTTCTGTTTCCCTCCTAAGGTTCTTTCTTTCACCGCCGGAAGTGTAATGAGAGGCAAAGACTGGAGTAAGGCCTGTGCTTTGCTTTGTCATTTGTCCGGAAGCGGGTAACCACGTTTCCTGGTCACGGGTTTAATCTCAAATGAAAGCAGGGGATTCACATATGTGCTGTTCGTGTTTCAGCTCTGTCCTTTCTCACCTCTGTGCCCAGTGGATTTGTTTGTCCCCTGAGATAAGGATCGTAGTTTGTACACATGTCAGTCAAAATATCACCCCTTTTCCCTCCTTCGCCCCGAGTGCTGTATAACAACAGAATAACCATAGAACAGCAACCACTGCCCCGCTACTTATTGACATGCTTCTCACTTGTCCTCACGCTCAACCCATATCTATCAGTCTCTGGTGTGCACCAAATCTGTAAATGGTTCATAATTGCGAATCACTGATTGTATTGTATCTCTGTTTTCCTGTGTCTGATTTTCCGTGCAAGACGTTTACCTTCTAAACTATCAATGGATTTTCATTAAATTTGGTAATGGAGCCGGTTTAATTCTGCTCTGTCAATGGTCCAGTTTTCAGGAAAAAGTGAAAAGAAGTTTAAGGAAAACCACAAATTCATACTTCCACATGTTTTATGACTCCTTGACACATAATAGTTCTTGAGAAGCTACCATTCGCTTAACTGCTCAAGAATTTATGAATATTTTGTGAAACCCCAAAGGTTCATTACCATGTTCACAAGAGTCCGCCTCTGATCCTTATCCGGAGCCAGATGAATCTAGTTCATACCACCCCATCCTGTTCCTATAAGAGCCATTTTAATATTATGCTACCTACATGTAGGTTTTCCTAGTGGTGACTTGTCTTCAGATTTTCCCGCCAAATCCCTGTGTAAATTTCACTTCTTCCATACATATTAGACGCCCTGCCTATCCCTTCTTTTTTGACCTTATCATTGTAATTTTATTTGGCGAAAAATACACTTTAATGGAGCTTCTCATTTTGCAGTTTTCTCCAGCCTAATGTTATTTAATCCCTTTTGAGTCCAAATATTCTCCTCTCCACCCTACTCCCAAATACCCTCAGTCTGTGTTATGAACTCCTCATAACACAGAAATAAAAATGAAATATTAAGGTGAATTTCACCTCATACTATTGTAAGCAATTCAGTTGGACGAGGCTCAGAATTACGTAGTAACTATAAATAACGCAATTATTTTCTGATTCAAACGAAACCTGGAGGGTAAATACCTTCTTAAACATGGAGATAATTAGGTTATAGAAGTGTTAAGATTAGGTTCTCTCTGCTTGAAGACACAGGCCGCCTTGACCCGACATGTTCGCTATAGTTGGAACGAGCATGGCAGGAGGGAATCACAGATTGAAGTAACTCTCTCTATTTGTTTTTAATTCGCTTAGTGGGGGGTGGCGTCCAACTGCGTCCACTCGGCACGACGGCCAATTATTGGCCTATTGTAACCTGTCCCGGGAGATTATGATGATGGAGAATTTGGTGGAATGAAGATTGGCAGGGGAAACCGAAGTACTCGGAAAAAGCCTGCCCCAGCGCCACTTTGTCCACCACAAATCCCACTTGACCAGACCCGGGATCGAACCCAGGCTGCCGCGGTTGGGAAGGCAGCGACTAACCGCTTGAGCTATGGCGCGGCCTGTGTATATTTATGTAGGAGTTTGACACTCTGCGTCCTATACGTACGGCCTGCTTCGACATTACAAGCTCAGCGTTTTACCTACACAGTTTATGTCTGGGTCTATTATGACTCTCCCAATAAGGAGTGATTATGCAGGAGTTGAGGTTCTTATAGCGATTGTTATGAAGAGTCATTCAGGACCAGTTCTGTAATCGTTTTTTTACAGATGGTAGGACCCATTGTCAGTCCGTCGCAAGGCGTTTACGTAAACACAGGACAACACAAAGAGAATAAACGCATACACACACCTAACATCCATGTCTTAAGGGGGATTCGAACCAACGATCCCAGCGTCCGAGCGATCGAAGACAGTACATGCCTGAGACGAAGCGGCTACTGTGACCGGCTGAATCTTCATTCCTAATCTTAATTACATGATTATTTAATCTCTAAATTTGAATCTTATTCCTTCTCTACAATATCTATCTATCTATCTATGGCTCTGCAGCCCTTGTGGACCGTGGCCGCTGTTTTTTATTTTCTTAAGCCATACACAGTCGGTAGGACTCCTTGGACGGGGGATCAGCCCGTCGCAAGGCCGCTACCTACATGCAGAACAACACAAACAGAATAAACGCACATTGTTATCCATGTCTTGAGTGGGATTTGAAGGCACGATCCCAGTGTTCGAGAAGGCGAAGGCGGTTCATGCCTTAGACTGCGGGGCCACCGTGACCTGCTCCTTACAGTATTAGCTATAATTTATTGCGATTTCGACAAGGACAACATTCGTATCCTTGGCGAAGAAAGGGTGTTTCTGCTCGTGTAAGAGTGGAATAACTGCTTAACGAAATATTCTGCATATCGATGGTTTGTATTATACTGCCCGCGTTTGCTCGGAGACCCTGTACGTCTCTGTCAAGATAGCCGGTGATGGGGCCAATAATCTAGTATGGATCTTCCTGAATATGAAGTAAGATTGGTAGCCATTGAACCGTGGTTTTGAGATACTCTCTTGAAGATAAGAATAACTCTTCAGCTGAGGTGGAAGGGAAACGGAAGAATTGATAGGTCGATTAGGCAGCGGATAAGGAAAGAGGGTACAGCAAACGGACCTGAGCTAGCCGGAAGTATTGACGGAAGGCAGGAAAACGCGGTTTCCTGTGATGAATATTTGGAGTTCGCAGTTTCTCCCTGCGCTCAGAACCGAGAGATGTTCGATATGGCCACAAATTCAGCTTCGCTCATTATTACAAACATACGTCAGACAGATACAGGTTAATTACATTCTCACAGCGATGATTATTATGAGTTTCATCTTCTGGAATATAACGCAGAGTATTACATTGAAAATCTGTGTTTCGGTTTAACATGTTGCCTCCTTCTTCAGAGTCGAGGAGTAAGCTGAACAAGGTAACAGAATGAGGCAGGTGGCAGTCAGCGTGGTCTCCTAGCAGAAAACACGAGCTTATGTCCTGTTTCCTCTGCTGCAAGTAGACATCTGCCTCTTGCTTGGCATTATAGTCAACCCTGAATATGGAGGCGGTACGTCCCACCGAAACTTCGCTGGACTTCTACCGAATTACATGAAGCAAAATAAAAAACTCCGTGGCTTTAGTCCGCAAGCGAACTATACCGACCGAGCGACCGCCGCTTGTCAGCGAAGTTAGTGACAACTTTAGCGGATAGAGGGTGTACCGTGGTCAGCGCAGCGATTCTCCACTGCCGTTAATTTCGGTTTTCTAGACCGGAGCCGCTATTTTTCCATTGAAGTAGCTCCTCAATTGTCCTCACGAGGCGGAGTGGACCCCGTTCTAGACCAACTACTTCTTAGAAAATCTGGTAGCGCCGGGAATCGAACCCGAGACCTCTCGATCTGTAGCAAGGAACTCTGACCACTTGTAACCGTTCATTCTAATTGGTAGACTATTGTGTATTAATTATACATATATTAAGTAAATATCAAGTAAATACAAAGAGAATCCGGCAGATAGCCATCTCTTACACGCAGAAGGGACATAGTTCAAGTTTTGCTATGTGGACAGGAAGTAACATCTGGTACTTTCCTGGAATTCTGGCAGTTTCAGCAAAGTCGGAAAGTCTTTGAGAATTTGANTGGACCTCAGGATTCAGAGAGAGCGCATTCCACCTGGGGGAGTCTTCATCCAACTTTCGGCGAAGTCAGTCTCAAATTTACAACTACGTTCCTTCAGAAAATAAAGTATTACATGTTAAATAAAATTAACTGTAAACATTAGAGTTTCCGTTGTATTCAGTGAACGGAAGTGAATTAAATAATTACTAAGTGCAAAAGGCTGAAGTGGTGAGTGTGATTGTAGCGTAAGGTTCTGCCTGCCCTGCTCGAGCCAGACCCGTATAAGACCCCGGGATAAGAACTGACCTCTACCAGTTACCTAGCAGAACCCAGATACTCCCGTCTTTACCTACCTGCGAGACACCTAAGGGTGTACAGGAAGCGAAATCTCGCCTACCAGCACCAACAACCACAATTCTCCTCCCTTCCCACCTAACTTCTCGACATCCACGAGAAGAGGGAGGACGGTGATAAGTGGAGCACAACGTAGGAGCAAGGAGGACGGTTACACAGTGGCAACCAACATAAAGTGCCCAACGAAGTGAGCGGTTAGACACTAGACCACAGAGGCGGTCCTCTACCGAATTGCATAGCGTTACAGATCAAAAGTTAATTTCTTTCTCTTTGGCAATTTCCATCATGTGAAGTAAATTTTAGAAAAATTATGATTTTTTCTTTAAATTTCTTTCTCTGACCCGTTAGCTTTTATATTCTGAAATTTATGATATTATGACTGAAAATTTTCCTGATTTTCCTTAGCTTAAAAGCAAATTAAAGTTGATTACATTAAAATATTGAACTTCTGTTTTTTTCCACTTTATCCTCTCATCATTAGTGGTGGATCATATACATTCTTTATGAAACGTGTGTAATTAGTGTTTCCGTGCCGGAATTCTTTCCTTGAAGTTCCCGGGAAATCTGTATGTTTTTCCGAATCCCGAGAAAAATCAGACGAGAAATCGGGAGAAGGTAGTATAATTCTCCTGCGAGAATTAACTCTTTGAAGGGCGGTGGATAGCAGGAAGCCCTGCCGCGCGGAGTCCGAGGTTAAGGTGCACATCTCCTGGAGCCGGGACAGGAGGACTTAACAGAGAAGCGCTGTCTTGCTTGTAACTTGTGGCATTTTCCTACAATTTTTAAATGATTTTCATTCGGCATTTATCTTAATGTTCCATTCTTTTAATGTTTTTTGTTATCAAATGTCTATATCAGAGACGATTTTTACACGCTACTAAATTATATAATCTTGTCAAAATATATTTGTTCATAACAATAAACCATGCATTTAGTATTATATTTTTTACAGAAAGCCTCTGAAACTTCTAGCATAATTGTATCATAGAAAAATGATCCGCTCTCTATTATTGTGGTCACTCATTAATATTTAAAACACGTAAATACAATGTTATGAAAAATACGAAGTAACTCTTTATTTCGGGAATCCCAGAGAATTCCCCGGAATTCTGAGTTCTCATTGCCGAATCCCGAAGATTAATATCTATTCTGAGTTTAAAAACATTATGTGTAATTAATGATCGGTGGTCGGAAAATGAACTAAGGCACGTATGCAAATAATATTGTTTTTCTAAACCATCTTGAATTCTACGTCACACTTTTAGTGGGTAGCCTTACGGAAGAAAAGTTCCCTGCGTTAAACGAGACCTCCAGTGTAGTGATTTTGGCTGCTATCGTATGTTCGAAATAAAATGTGATAACTTTCTAATTGTGACGTAATAAAACGCGTCACTCTTTGATGATGATGCAACCTCAAAGATGCCTTAGACACAATATACGCATGCATGACTGCATGAATCAGTAAACAATTACTTGGAGTGACACAGGATCATGTTTATGACTGCATCTGACGATCCGAGTGTCCTGTTTCATTTAACATTATGTCCTGCTGTTCATTGTGTTTGTACGAACATCTTAACACATGGCTGTACAGCAATTTCCTGAAGCCATAATTTGCTCTACATAGTGCTATTGTGTTCACACAGCTGTAAGAGAAATAAATATAACAAACAAGAATGTCTACATATGCATAATTAATATTAGCCAATTTTAGAACAAAACCACAAAGTCTTTCTAGTAGCATCCACACAAACAATGGAACATGCGTCACCCAGAACATCTTCGATAGCTGGGTGACTGTTTTCGAATTGATGATCTTTTCCTCTTCCGGAGGAACGGAATTCTTTTCAGAATAAATTTTGAATCTGTTCATTGCTGTAGGAAGTATCAATCCGTATAACACGATGTATACGGACGGTGTAAAAAGATAACCAATTTTTGGATGGTCATTAAACGTGTATGTCAAAGTGGCAACACTGAAAGCCCACACCCATACACTGAGGATACACACAACACGTTGCCACATCGTGGACTGAGACAGACAGAAAACTGGTCTGTATAAAGGATGGAATATTTCGATATGATACTGAGCCCTAAGGATCAACAGTGACATCCCACTGACTGAAATCAGTGCACTTTGAACGGATGTAAAGATACCATTATCTGAAAATTCTTCATGTGGTAAAATAGACGAATAATACAAGTGAATGTAATTAAATGGTATGTATATGATAAGGATCAAAATCCCGGTCACTGCAATGTTGATTACCATCACGTCACTTTGCATAATAGTATCCTTGTGCTTCGCAAATATGATCAATACTGCACAGTTTAAAATCAGACCTGTTACAATAAAGATAGCCCTGATTATTGGTTCTATATAATATCCACATATTAGGTACGCTGTCATGAGAAAGTTATATTGTGATAGAGACGAGAATTGTTCCTCGTATCTAACAATATCTTGAGACGAAAAACAGCTACAAAATCTTCTTTGAGCACAAATTATTGTAGATCTCATATCTTGATCCATATTTTCGATTACTTCTATCAGTGTCGTGTAATACGATTGTTGATCTTTTAGAATTTCTCTAAACTGATCGTAGTAATTTTGGACAGTGTTCAGATTATGTGAATGAGAATATCTCGATATCTTATGAATGAACCCACGTAAGAAATATTCATTTTCTCTGACTGTGGTGCTCAGTACGTACGGCGCAATTGCTTTTGTCTTGTCACTGAATTCGTCTAGGCATTTCTTCACAGACTCATCTCTGGATTTGAAACCGCCATGTTTGTTGGTTACGTCCCATAAAATTAATGCTAACTTGTCATTGTTAACAAGTTCCTTCCACGATATGTTAATTGTTTCGTTCCCCGGTTCAATTTCAGCAGCTTCTCTTCGAAAACGTTCTGCACTGTCTTTCCTTGTGTTACTTAATGCAGACGTATGATCTGTGCTAATAGAATTTTGTGAGACTCTGTTTCCATATTTCGGAGTGTTGCTGTAGTTGCTATAAGGATTGTCCTGTCCTTGCTGTTCGTCACCCGTCTGGTTATGAAGTAGAAATTCAGGAGAGTCTGGCTTCTTGTGGTCTCTGAAGTCGGCTGCTGATTTGGCGCTAACGTCAGGGCTGTCGCTGTGAGTTGCGAATTCAGAAGGGATCGCTCCTCCAGACTGAGCTGTTGCCAAGCGTATCTGTGAACGAATGCAGCAAGGTGTTTAATAGCAGCTAATATATTTCTGATGCAATTTTAAATGTTAATTAGAATACAGATCTGTATGAGTGTGAAACGTGGTCTCTGACATTAAATGAGGAACATAGACTGAGGATGTTGAGAATATTTGGACCGAAGAGAGATGAAGTGACAGGAGATTGGAGAAAACTGCATAATGAGGAGCTTCGTAACTTGTACTCTTCTCCAAGTATAATTACAATGATCAAGTCAAGGGGGATTAGTTGGGCAGGGCATGTAGCACGAATGAGGGTGAAGAGAAATGCATATAGGATATTGGTGGGAAAGCCAGAAGGGAAGAGACCTATGGGAAGACCAAGGCGTAGGTGGGTGGACAATATTAAAATGGATCTTAGAGAGATAGAATGGGTTGGTATGGAGTGGATTGATCTAGCTCAGGATGGGGACCAGTGGAGGGCTCTTATGGACACGGTAATGAACCTTCGGGTTCCGTAAAATGCTGTGAAGTTCTTGAGTACTTGCACAATTGGCGGCTTCTCAAGAAGGGCTCAGCTCCATGAGTGAGTGAGTGATTAGAATACAGAATACCACAAGCCACAGGGCAGGAAATATTTATGTTTGTAGTTTGTTAAAAATTAACCATATCGTAAATTAAATTAAACTTGAAACTTAAAATATATCGTGACACGACGCCTGAAAGCCGGAATAGTGGAGCCACAGTGGATGTCTATTGTTGGCCAACGGCTCGCCAAACACACGTTCCCGCTGCAAGGAATAGAACAGAATAATCAGTTGCTGGGCAACGATTCGGTAAGCATGTTTCGTGGCAATGGAAAAAACAGAATAACACGAACTGTTCGAGATGGTGATTTATATTTGGGTCGCTTGGAAGTTAGTTCAGTTCAGAGGTGAGCCGTCGTTCGGCATTCGTCAGAGAGTTCAAGGACGCATTTGTGAGACAGTTGTCGCTCAAGGCAATCGCAGTGCAAGTGAAGACACTCGTAGTCCAGTAAGGAATTGAGCGAGTCTTACGTAGTCATTGATTGTGAGCTCTTATAGTCTATTGTAATTGTAGTAGAAATGTCAACAAATCCAATCATCCAATCCAGAACCCCTTAATATTAATAACGAAAAGCCCTCATTCATGACAATATGTTCTGTATTTTATCATACGTAAAAAGCGTTTTGTAGGATAGCATTTGGCATAATATAGAAAGTTTGATTTGAGTTTCATGTAAAATAGACCTGTAGGTTTACATGCAAATCATACTCATCACTGTGTAAATTTCTACATCCCCTGTTCATTATTATTATTATTATATTATTATTAATTTCTCTTGATTCGTTTGGAGCTTAGGGCATCCTTGAAGCCCTTTATTTCCATTTTAGTTTCTTAATATTATAGACAGTTGGTAGGACTCCTTGGATGGGGATCAGCCCCACGCAAGGCCATTATCTACACAGGACAGGACAATGCGATCACAGAATAAACTCAGATATCCATGCCTTGAGTGGAATTCGAACACACGATCCCAGCGTTTGTGTGGGAGAAGACAGTTCATGCCTCAGACTCCGCCGCGGACACAGTGATCGGTCCGTTTAAATTTAGATAAATTAATTAATTAATGATTTTGTTTTTTATTTGTTTGTGTTGTTCGTTATTCTTGTTGACCTTGTCATTGGCCCCTGACTGTTGAATTCAACACGGAAGTGAATAGAGAATAACAAGTATTATTATTAATATCCAGCAGAGGTTTGCGACCCTCTGTTTTAATCGTTTGTATCCTCAAGTCTATTACAGTCATTCTCTGGAGGAGTTACAGTTGCACACTTTTCGTACTGGGAGACATCGCTTCGATGCTCTCGTTCTTACTCAAGTTTACTTTGGTTTGAAATTCTGCCCTTCTGTTCTGTAATTTGTTGGTCTCCGAGTTCCTGCTCGGTATATCTTGTCCCTCTGCTAGATGTCAGCAGCTGCTAATATTTCCAGGGATGTTGACGTATTCGGAGCCTGGAACTTTCCCCTCAATCGTTTTTATAATATGGATTCTATAATATTGTTATTATTTGCATGAATATAAAAAACAATTAAACTTAATTATTGTTATTATTATCCTCTCTAAATATCTATACATTCATTTTACAATTAAATATTTATAGGCTGCGCCATAGCTCAGGCAGTTAGTCGCTGGCTTCCCACCGCGGCGGCCCAGGTTCGATCCCAGGTCTGGTCAAGTGGAATTTGTGGTGGACAAAGTGGCGCTAGGGCGGGTTTTCTCCGAGTACTTCNGTAGTGTTTATCCATATTGTAATTACTTGTATCTACCCTGTGCTCTGTCTGTAATTGGCCTTGCGGCTGTTTACTCGGCACATAAATAATAAAGAATTGAATTTGTTGTTGTTAACGACATCGAGTTGAGTCCTTCTTGAGAAGTCGATGTTATTATTATTATTATTATTATGACTAAGTACCTCTGTGTGCCTGAGTCCTTTTTGAGGATCTCCAAAGTTGCCTAGCCAGACAAGAAATTCCCAATATTTTATGGAACCCGAAGGTTCCCTTCTGTGTTCACAAGAGCCCGCCACTGGTCCCTACCCCAAACCAGATGATCCCAGTCAACAATTTCCCATCGCATTTCTTTAAGATCCATTTTAGCATTATCCTTCTATCTACGCCTTGGTCTCCCTAGTGGTTTTTTCCTTATGCTTTAATATCGAAACTTTTGATGGACATTTCGTCTTTTCCATGCATGCCACATGCCATGCCCATCTCATACTGCTTGATTTTTTCATGTTAATAATGTTCGGTGAGGAGTACAAATTACAAAAGTCGTCTCCTCTTAGTTCATCCATCTATGGCCTTGTTTAATCCACGTAAAATTTGAGATTCTCAGCTGTGGTTATGAAGAGTTCTAGCTGCTGGGATATATCGCCGTGTAGTCCGTTCCTTTGCTTCCAGCCTGCTTCATACTGGTTTCTTGCTTGACTTGCTCTTTAACCCTGAAAATGGAAGCGACGTGTAACTCCGAAACGTCTATTTATTTTCAACAGAACGCACAGCGTTTTATCCCAGAAGACAGAGCTCTTCACTCCCAGTCCACGGTATTACCTTAATGGATGAGATCAAGTTGCATGCTCATGTAACTGCAATGGATCACATGACACAGCCAAAATCATTTGTTCCTAAAATTCTTTTGAATGTTGTCCATATCGTAAAGGATGTGAGTCTCGATAGTAACCATTGGGCTTTAAATGGTTAACGAAAAGCAAACTATTCTGCACTGAAATATCGACCCAATGTTCCTTTATACGAGGAATAGTAGTTAGTTATTGGAGAGGGTGGGTTTCACCGTACACTTAGACCAGTATTGGTCCATTGTGCTTCCCTCTATGATATTCTACCAGTCTCTATACCCTACCGATATTGGTGCGTGCCATCAGTCCCGACCGAGCCAGCGAGTTCGGCCTCTACTGGTTTGGCGGTATCTATAATGCTTCCCCCATCTATCAGAGGCGTTAGAGACTACTGGTGGGCGGGAAATGTCGTTGAATTTGGCTCAGTGACCTCCTTTGGAGATATGAGGTTGTTTTACGTGCTGTAAAGCTACGACACGGGACACACGGCTTAAAGTCCCTCCCGGAGGACTTGTTCCCTGTATTTTTCCGCCCTTAAAAATTCCACGACCTCCGTCGGGTTTGAACTCGCGTACCACGAGTCATGAGGTGGGAACGTTACCTCTAGACTACGGAGGCCGCTACGAGGAATAGTAACTACATAAATAACAACAGCAATACTACGTTCATTGTGCACTTACCAGCAGACAGAAGACAACGGCATGCGTCATTGTAGCGTATTCAGAAGACATGGTCTTTTCAAACAGATGTCCAGCCGCTCATTGTTAACACGAGACGACACTGCTTCCGGCAATACGCACGCAAACTGTCTCACTGATAGTTCTCAGATATTTAGGGCAGATCGTATATGTACCATTACGTCACATGAGTTCACGACTTATTACCACAATCAGTGACCTTTGTGAGCAAGACGTAAACAACTTACATAAAAAGACGCGATGAAACTTGACAGCACGGAAAGCAATGAAAACAAATGACTGGTAGGGTAAAGCCGAATACACACTTTCGTATTCCGCCGTAATGTAACAAATCTATACGGCGTTACTGCATTAGTGGCACTTGGTTGGTTCACGTCGCGGTGGATACACAACACTGTCGGTTTTCCAGCGAGCATCACAGGACCGTCCGTTACACGTTTGGAGCAGGTGTCCGTGATTCTGCGCGCTCTCGCCAGGTGGAAACTGTTCCTCATTAGGGCCAGGTTATTTCTCCACTCTTTTCTTCATACTTACGTACTTACTCATGGAGCTAAGTCCTCGAGGAGAAGCCTAATGTGCAGCTTCTCAAGAATTTCCCAGCATTTTATGGACTCGCAACGTTCATTACCGTGCTCGCAAGAGTCCTCCATTGAGCCAGATCAATCCAATCCATACCAAAAGGAACTCCTTGATTTTAGTCCGCAAGCGAACTATACCGACCAAGCGACCTCCGCTTGTCTGCGAAGTTTAGTGCCAACTTTTGCGGATAGATGGTGGTCGCATGGTCAGCGCAACGAATCCCCACGGCCGTTAATTTCGGTTTTCTACACCGGAGCCGCTATTTCCTTGAAATAGCTCATCAATTATCATCACGAGTCTCAGTGGACTCCGTTCCAGACCCACTACTTGGTAGCGCCGGGAATCGAACCGAGACCTCTGGATCTGTAGCCAGGAACGCTGACCACTAGACCACAGAGGCGGTCATCCAATCAATACCATCCCATCCAATCTCTCTAAGGTCGATTTTAATATCGTCCACCCACCTACGTCTTGGTTTTCCCACTGGTCTCCTTCCTTCTGGCTTTCTCACCGATATCCTATATGCATTCCTCTTCTCCCCATTCATGCTACATGCCCTGCCCACCTCATCCTCCTTGGCTTGATCATTCTAATTATACTTGCAGAAGAGTACAAGTTATGAAGCTCCTCATTATGCAGTTTTCTCCAACCTCCTTTCACTTCATCCCTCTTCATTCCAAATATTCTCCTCAACAGCCTGTTCTCAAACACCCTCAGTCTATCTTCATACTCCCTTATTTTGCGAATCGTAATATCTAGTGGGCCGATCACAGTGGCTGCGCGGTCTAAGGCATCAAATGCCTTTGCTCGCTGGAACACTGGGATCGCGGGCTCGAATCCCATTCGAGGCATGGATGTCTGTTTGCATTTATTCTGTGTCTGTGTTAGGTAGCGGCCTTGCGACAGGCTAATCCCCGGTCAAAGGAGTCCTCACTGACTGTCTGTAAGATTAAGAAACTGAAGTGACAAGAGCGTTGCATTGATGCCCTGTGCTCCAAGTGGGGTTCAGTCCGTCACGTGCAAAAGCTCTCAACAAGAATTGAAATTTATCTTTCTTTAATTCCCATTTTAATATTATCCTGTCATCTATGGTTCAGTTTCTTATGGAATCTTCCCTTCAGTGAAATTCGAAATTTTCGCAGCGGTGGCAACGAATATTATTGTCGTACGTGATGTAACGCCGTGTAGTCTAGTAGATTGATGTCAAACTTTCCAAGGGCGAGGGAGGGCTGAAGTATCAGGTCCTGAGTGGATCTATACGGGTTCTATTTCTGTTCGTTTGCTCAGGAATCCGGTGGCACAGACCCCTCCCTCGGTCCCTATATCAGTACCACTTTGTCAGCTCTTAGTTTTCGTCTCTGCCCTGAAAATGGAAGAAGCATGTTACTTCGATACATCGGTTAACTATTTACCAGACTGCATGGGTTCTCATTCCAGAAGTCGGTCATCTTTCCATGAGGCTTGCATGCCTCTTACAGAAGTGTACTTAATGTGTGTACATTTTGATTTGTTTTCAGGTAAGTTCGAAATGCTGTGCGTGCATGCACGTCTGGCTGGCTGTCTGTCTGTCGCACTTCCGGATTCGTTGTTCACCTCTTCATATACGAATATCATTGAACGTGAGTACTTGGTTCGAACTGAGAATACAATTGTAAGAATACCCTTCCGTATTTACACACCCACACACACAAAAGTAATGTAACGATGGGACAAACGCTCGGGAAATACTCACTTTCGGCCTATTCTTCATTCCCTTCTCCGCCTGTGTCCGTCTCCTCCGGGACTTCATTTCTTTCTCCACCTGTGTCCGTCTCCTCCGGGACTTCATTCCCTTCTCCACCTGTGTCCGTCTGCTCCGGGACTTCATTTCCTTCTCCACCTGTGTCCGTCTCCTCCGGACTTCATTTCCTTCTCCACCTGTGTCCGTCTCCTCCGGGACTTCATTTTTTTCTCCACCTGTGTCCGTCTCTTCCGGGACTTCATTTCCTTCCCCACCTGTGTCCTTCTCCTCCGGGGCTTCATTTCCTTCTCCACCTATGTCCGTCTCCTCCGGGGCTTCAGTTCCTTCTCCACCTGTGTCCGTCTCCTCCGGGACTTCATTTCCTTCTCCACCTATGTCCGTCTCCTCCGGGGCTTCATTTCCTTCTCCACCTGTGTCCGTCTCCTCCGGGACTTCATTTCCTTCTCCACCTGTGTCCGTCTCCTCCGGGACTTCATTTCCTTCTCCACCTGTGTCCGTCTCCTCCGGGACTTCATTTCCTTCTCCACCTGTGTCCGTCTCCTCTGGGACTTCATTTCCTTCTCCACCTGTATCCGTCTCCTCCGGGACTTCATTTCCTTCTACACCCTCCTCTTGTTCTTTATTTTCTCCACCGCTTCTTTCCCTTATTCTCTTGAATTACATTTTCTTCTCCCCACTTCTCTTTATGTTCTCATTTTGTACCTCATTTCCTCCTCTCATTCTCCTACACTTTCCCTCCTTTTCCTCTTTTCATTGGTGTGCTGGACCGGGGGAGGTGGCGCCGACCTCCCGCAAGCCTTGCATATTCACACACGGCACGTCTCCCTGATGAAGCTACGTGCTGTACCGTGCCCGAGGGCAGTAATTACAACATTTCGCCCACAGCGTCTCTAGAGTTCGGAATGACATTCCGGTTGGATTTTCAGATATGAGCCGAATGCGTAATTTCAGACCTGTAGACACTAAACTCCCATCCCTTTATTCCTTTGTTACCATCTGTTGCCATGATGGCGTCAAGGTCGCTTGCCATCGTAATGACCCAGTTCTGTCAACAAGCCAAGCGCCTGGAAAGCTGTCTCCCGTGCCACACGTGACCTGTCACAGCATTAGGTGTGGCTTCCAATAAAAGGTGCAGTTCTTTCGTTATTGCCGAGAAGGCTCCGAGTGCAATTTTGGGATACGGTCATTGGAATCTTTGTTTGTTCCTCTGTCCGTGCACATTTACAGATGTAGACGGCATAGATGTGTCTGTGCTTAATTACGCACTGGGAGAAGTTTATGCCGCAATTGCTTTACCCCTCGACGAGAGCCAGGATAGGATTGGATAGGAAGCTGAAAGGGCCGCAAAGCCGCCTGGACGGCCGAGAATCGAACAAGGATTCCTGTATCCTAATCTCTATGCCGGACTTAAAGAAATCCAGCCTTCATTCTCTTTAATCATTTAAAACACGGTTTAGGTACGAGTATATGTACCAAGTGTTTTGACATTGAAGGTACACAAAATTTTGCCTACGCAGTGCATTTATGTGGTCCGTATTATTTTCACAATAAACAATGATAATTTCTCTAAATACCATTAACCGAATGGTCTTTGTAACGGTGACGCATTGTGCTTCCTGTGAGGTACGAACTGTATGTTATATATTTTATAGATTAATTGCATGTTGCAGTGGTTAACAAGGCAGAATTTATTCATTTCATCTTACTAACATATTAGATGTGAAGGGAGGTAACCACAGAGACACGAGTAACTAGGTAACATTATTCGAGCCCCCCTCATCCTTTCCTCCTCCTCCCCTTCCTCCTCCTCCTCCCCTTCCTCCTTTCTTCTTCTTCTTCTTCTTCTTCTTCTTCTTCTTCTTCTACTTCTAGGCCGCTATCTTCACAGGCCAAAGCAAACAGAATAAAGGCAGAGCGATATCCATGCCTCCAGTGACACTGGAACTCACGATCCCAATGTTCGAGCGGTAGAAGACATTTCATTCCTAGATAACGCGGCCGCTGTGGTATAGACAGTGTCACGTAACTTCGAACTAGGCCCCGCATTCCTAGTCAAATCCCGCGCATAGCCTGTGGTGGGAGGAGTTTCTTAACACTCGTTCTTCCACTGGCCGCCTGTCACTTCTCACACTCTCCACCCCTTTGTCGGAAATTTTTCTTCTGCGCATTCAAGGTTACTCTTGGCCTTGTTCGAAGTTCATTCTGTCATTCATTATTGGAGGGGGTGGGTTTCCCCATGCACCGCTACCAGTTGTTGATCTATTGTACGTCCCCCTTTGATATTCTACCAGTCGCCATACCCTTCCGGTACTGGTGCTAGCTATCAGCCCCGTTCAGCCAGAGAGTTCGGCCCCTCTACTGGCAGTGGTACCCGATACTTCCCCATCTACTGGAGGCATTGGAAACTGCTTGGGCGAAAACTTTTTACCTACTTGTTCCCTGAATTTTTCCACCCTTAAAAATTCCACGACCTCCTCCGGGTTTGAACCCGCGTACCTTGAGTTATGAGATGGGAACGTTAACCCTAGACTACGGAGGTCGCTTAGCTTGTTCGAAGTTACGTGACACTTGCTATATTATTCGCATCTTCTGGTTGACAAACAACCAGCGGAAGCTATTCGCGTTGGCACTAGTGACTGATGCCTCACGGCAGTTGTACTGACAATTGCAGTTAGACTGTATGCAGTTCCCGCTCTCCTACTTAAAAGAGATGAGAGGATTTTATTGCTGATGACATTCTGACATGCAAATGGAAATGCTCTGAAGTTGGCTCTCGTCTGAGAGGTGACACCGTATAT